AGTCAACAAACCAATATAAAATAACAATGAGCAATATGTGTTATGAGTGAAAAGAACTGGGTGGGAATTGCCCATAACCTAGAACTGTGTTTTCCCTGGGATGTAACTCTTGGACAAGTTGAATATGTAAACATTATCTGACCAAACAGTGGCAAATGATAGAGCCTATGGATCATGAAGTTCTCTAATATCCTCTGGTTTTGAAGAAGAATAACAGTGGGGATATTTTTAAAGAGAATGATCAGATAGGGCCTCCCTGAGGAGAGGATGTAGATAAATGGTATAAACGCTGAAACTGGCAGAAGGAGGGTAGTGTGAGAGAGGCATTCCAGTTGGAGGAGAGATGGGAACTGTCCCAGGCAGGAAAGAGCCACCAATAATGATCAGGTGTTGAGGACTTTGCCCTATGGGTCTGCACTTGGCCGGTTTTATTAAAAGAATCTTTGTTCCTTGACTGCTAAAGTGTCACTATATGTGCAGTCCTCTATTGGGAGTTTTGCATACTGGAGACCAGGCACTTACCTCCCATGTCTTGAGGATTCTAGCACTCCGTGTCAGGTTATTACCATGAGCCCCTGTGTCCTGCCTACTGAACTATACACAACTATGTCAGCTAGGCCATTGTTTTATTTCTTATGTTAGGCCTGAGCGAATTTAAGAAAGGAATATAAGAACAGGCATTTCTATGTACTTTGGTCTAAATTCACTCCCAATCCCTAAGAGTTTTTTTTTGTTTGTTTGCTTTTTTTTACTTTAAGTTCTGGGATACATGTGCAGGATGTGCAGGTCTGTTACATTGGTATATATGTGCCATGGTGGTTTGCTGCACCTATCAACCCATCATCTCGGTTTTAAGCCCTGCAGGCATTAGGCATTTGTCCTAATGCTGTCCCGCCCCTTGCCCCATATCCCCTGGCAGGTCCCAGTGTGTGATGTTCCCCTCCCTGTGTCCATCTGTCCTCATTGTTCAACTCCTACTTATGAGTGAGAAGATGCAGTGTTTGGTTTTCTGTTCTTGTGTTAGTTTGCTGAGAATGATGGCTTCCAGTTTCATCCATGTCCCTGCATAGGACATGAACTCCTTCTTTTTTATGGCTGCATAGTATTCCATGGTGTTTATGTGCCACATTTTCTTTATGCAGTTTATCATTGATAGGCATTTGGGTTCCAATCCCTAAGTTTTAATAAGCATATGCTACCAGTTACATGCAATTTGGGTAATCTTGGTCACATCCTCTCATTTGCCTGCTCATTCACAGATACTTATTCAACAAATACCAATTGAGCAAGATGTATGTGCTAGTATGACAGGTAGATAGGTCACCTGGGGCCTCAGTATCTCCACTGATGAAGACTTTTGTAAGATCACTGGTTTCCAATGTGGTGGGGACTCCTACACCTTATTTTATTAAACAAATTAAAGTGGACTCAAAGTTATTCCTCTAATAGCTTCACTCCCTGGTATACTTTCTCAGATGATAGAGAAAATGGTGGAGTGACAGCTATAGGCTGGAAATTTTTGTTGTTATTACCCAGAACTTAATTGTTCTCTGCCTGAATTGTTAGGCTGTGTGAACCTCACTTGCCACAAGGTCTTCATGGAAAGGATTGAGAACTTCCAAACTGAATGTTCTCTGAGATTCTTTCTAGCTCTGACATTCTTAGAGTGCTGAGACAATTTTTCTTTTCTTTGTTTTCATTTAGCACTGTTTCACATGCACATTTCCAAGACTCCATATGGCTCATTTCCCTGTCAGTCTCAGAAATAATGCTTGAGTTTTGCTTAGCAGTAGTCCTATTAGTTTCTCTCTTCCCTTGATTCCCTCTACTTTTATAGACCTTTTTCAGAGCCTTCATTTCAGTGAATCCTAATGGTGTGTGTGTGTGTGTGTGTGTGTGTACGTATGTATGTGTGTATTTGTGTGTGTATTTGTCCACACTCAAGGTCTTTATCTGGTACCTACAGGCACTCAGCAACTACCGATTGGATGAATTAATGAATTCTTAATGATTATCAATAACTTCACCACACACCCACACACACACACAGTGAGAGAGAGAGAGAGAGACAGAGAGAGAGAGAGAGAGAGAGGGAAATCATAACCTTTGGCTTATTTTACTTCTTTTGTGAGGGTATTAATTTTCAGAATGGAATGGCTAGATCTAAAGTTTAGGAGCAGGTTTCATACTTTTATTACCAACAGCCAGATTGCTGTGTTGCATATGTTTTATGTAAGCAGTAGTTTTGCTGATAACACTCGTGTTAATTATTTATAACATTATCTTAAATAATTAATCAAATCAAGGAGTATTTCCTCTCCCTATTTTTTCTGGGTGTCAATATTCTTTCTATTTCAAACTCTGGTTGTTTCCCTAAAGCCATCAAATCAGAGGTTTGCCCTCTGAGTTTAACCAGAGAGAAAGAAATGGGCTGCTCCAGCTCTCCACCCTTTGCAATTTCTGTGATGATGATGATGATGATGATGAAGGTAACTATAACAACCCCATGAGAATATTAATAAACCCATTGACAGATGAAGAAACTAAGGCTCAGAGAGGTGAAGTGACTTTCCCTTAGTCACACAGGTAGATATCAGCAAAGACAGGATTTACATCTGGTTCCATCAGACTCAGAGCCTGGCCTCTTCCCACTAAACTATACTACATCACACCCCATGTGGAAGTTCAGGGTCAGGAGCCCGGGCAGCAGCAGGTCTGTCAAGTTCTGCAAGGCTGAGCTGTTTATCATTGTGGAGGACACTCATCACTGCGCTAATTACATTAATTGCTGCCCACTCTGTGGCTAGGTGGGTGGCTTAACAACACCTAGCAACATGGTAATGATGCCTGGGCCTGTCTTTATGCATGAAAACATCTGACTTTTTTTTTAAACTCCTTCCTGTGGTAACCAAGGATAGTAATTACAGGTTCTATTGGTTGGAAGTTAGTGATTCTCTACCCTGTAGGGAAAAGGTCAAGACCATGAACTTTGTCCTCCATCAGCCTCTTTACTGGAATCAGGAGGGAAGCTGAAAATTTATTAAACATCAACCTTGTGCTTGACATTTTATTTAAGAAATCTTTTATAATCCTCATGATTGCTCAAGAAGTAGGAATTATATTATTCTTATTTTGTTTATGAGAGAACACAGTCACCACGTTGGGGTCACATAGGAGGTGGGAACAGGCTTAGAACTCAGGACTATCAGTGGACGAATTTAGTTTCCACAAATTTATCTACACCACAGCATCTCTCAACAAGAGATACTGTCTTTCTGATGTTTAGAACTGAATTATAGTGAGGCTGAATCTGTATTTCTAGAGAGCAGGCAAGGCATTAGGAGTTGGTGTTTTGTGGAGTTCTCTATTGGTAAAGGATGAGTATTTGAGATGTCAGCCTTCCAACCTCCACTCCTTCCCTTAGTTGCTGAAGGAAATTAACAGAGTTTTCTAGTTTATTTTTAAAGAAGTTTTGAAGACCACCTCTGTCTACTTGTTGGGAATGGACAAGATGGCTTTGGTAATTCATCATAATTGGGTAAATGACTTAATTTTCAGAGACTCAGATAACAGAAGATAATTTAGGAAGTAATTGACTTTGGAATGTTGCGTATTCGTGTACTTTATGGGCGTGCCCATATCTATATGTGTAGGTATATATGTCAATAAATGTGTGGTACGTGCGTGTATGTGTATTCTTCAGGAAGACTTAGAGTAGTAGTGGACTTAGATGACTTGGTTCCTTTCATGCCTGCCATTTGTCTATAAATGAAGTCTAAATAAAGTTTACTTTGTATACCAAATCTCAAAACAACTATATCATATGATGATACAGAGTAGTAGTTAAGATATATGAAGCTAGACCAGGGTTTGAAGCTGTTTTGTTTTTTTTTTTTTAGTTTGAATCTTGGTTCCGTCACTTACCCACTGCTATGATTTGGGCAAGTGACTTAACCTCTCTGAGCATCAGTTTTATCATTTCTAGAAATAAAGATAATAACAGTTTTCATCTCATGAGGTTATTCTATGCCACAGAGGTTTTCGAGACAGGAACTATGTCTATACACTTTTCTGCACTCAGTCAGAATGAGGTTTAGAAAGAGCAGACTTTGGACTTAGATAATGCCTTGATTTGGATTCCAGAACTCCCATATAGGCTGTGTGAACTTAGAGAAACTATATACCTTTCCTGGGCCTCAGATTTGTCATTTACCCAATCAAGGCTCCTGATTCCTACCTGAAATGATTGTGATACCATGAGGTAGGACCCATGAGACCTGTGCAGCAGTAACACAGGAGGGATCCAGCGAAGGTTGGCTCTTTTCCCCTCATTTCCGTCCTAGCGTCTTACCTTTAATAATTGGCAACCACATTCTTGTTTGATATGTGAAATACATTTTTTTCTCTCATATTCCATTTTTTTTCTCCTTTCCACGTTTTTCCTTCTCCCTTTTCATAACACTTTTCTTTCTTTTCACTTTTTGGTAAACATCTGTCCACTGTGATTGAGGCCATCTGTCCAGGTCACCATCCATTGTGTCCTGGATTGTGGCAGCAGCTTTCCAACTTGCCTCCTTGCCTCCATCAGTCCTTGTCGTTTGGTTCTCCATGCGGGGCAGTCCTTCTGTAAACTGAACCAGACCTTGCTGCTCCTCTGTGCCACCCCCTCCAGTGGCTTCTCATCACCATGGCCTGCAAGGCTCTGTGTGACCTGTCTTCTGGCACTCTCTGATCTCCCTCTTAGCTCAGTCTGCTCCAACCTCAAAGGCCTTCTGGCTGTTACTGGAACTTCCCAAGCACATTGTTGTTTTAGGTCATATGTATACATATATATGACCAAATATGTGTGTGTGTGTGTGTGTGTGTATATATATATATATATATACACATATATATATATGTGTGTATATATATATACATATATATGTGTGTATATATATATATATATACACACACACACACACATATATCTATATACACATATATATACATACATATACACACATATATATATATATACACACATACATACATATATATAGTTCTCTTGTCCTCCTGATATCTGTAGGTTTCATCCTCTCACTTCCTTAGGCTTCTCCCCACATGGCACCATATCAGAAAGGCCTTCCCTGACGACTTAATGTAGAAAAACACCTCCAAGCACTGCCAGTCCTCCATTTTAGTTTTCCTCTTTTCACTTATCGATGACATATTAGATACTTACTCATTTGTTTTTTAATTTTATCTCTCCCCAGAGTAGTATGTCACCTCTATAAGAGCAGACTTGGTTTTGTTTTCTGCTGTGTTCCCAGAACCTGGAGCACAGTAAGTGCTCAGTAAATACTTGCTGGATTTTATGAATATGTGGCCCCTTTATGAAATGGCAAGGAAGAGCCTGCACTGATGCTCCAGGTGAGTTGAGCCCTGGATGGCTCACTGATTAGCATTTATCTTAACCAAACCAGGGCAATGAGGAGAATTAGGTGGCTGCCTAGGGGCCATTCACACACATGCCTTTGGGACCAATGCTTTTTCGTCTGCGGCAATGGCGTCCTGCTTTCTTGCTTGCGCTTTGTACCATGGTTGCAATGCTATCTAGAATTCCCATGGCAGCTTTACAATATGATTAATTTTGCTCATATAGATACATATCGATCACAGAAAAAGATGACTCAAGGTTTAAATTTAGCCCTACAAATTGAAAGTCAGAGGTGTGCTACCTAATTGCTCCCAGACTATGAAAAAAAAGCACAGCGTCTGCCAGTACTGAATCACTTTTCTCCACCCTTTTTCTCCCTTCCCTTCATGCTCTCTGTCTTAATTCTGTTCACGTCATAAACCATGGTAGCTTAATAAAGTGAAAAATAACATTGGGAGTCCTGACACTACCACTTGTTCACTGTGAGATCTCAAGCACGTTACTGCCCCTCCCTGAGCTTCAGTTTCCTTCTTGGTAAAGTAGGCCTACTTGAAAACAGGTGCTCAATAACATATGTTGAGCGAAAGAAGCCTAAGTGAAACAGCATGGGTAGAATGTCTAGCCCAGGATGAGCACTCAGTAGATGCTAGTCACCTGCCATGCTCATTGATGCACCCGACTGTGCTGTCTTCATGAAATTTATTTGGCTTTGGTCAACCATTAGGATAGGTAACCCAGCTGAAAACAGAGGATGGCTCACAACAAGGCCTTTCATAATCAGTCCCTCATAAGGGCTTTTATAGAGGCCCTACTATGCGTCCAGTAAGATGGAAGATTCAAGGGGTGGATGGGGCATCAAGCCAGCGAGAGGCATACTTTCTACTGCTATTGTGTCCTGTAGCTGCTGTAACAAATGACCACAAGCTTTGTAGCATAAAGCAACAGAAATGTATTCTCTCATGGTTTTAGAAGGTAAAGCAGTTGAAATCAAGGTGTTGTCAGGGCCACGCTCTCTCTGAGGGCCCTTAGGAAGAACCCATTCTCTGCCTTTTGCAGCTTCTGGTGACTTCTGGGGTTGCTTGGCTTGTGGAAGCACAGCTCCATTCCCTGCCTCTGTTTTCACGTGGTCTTCCCTATTGTTTGTCTGTGTCTCAAATCTCCCTCTCTTTTCTCTCTATACCCTACATCTAGTATTTCCCTCTTGGGTGATCTCAGTCAAATGGCTATACTTTCTTTACCCTCAGTTTCACTATTGAGAATGGACTAGCTATGTCTTCTTCACTAAGATGGTGTGCAGGTAAAATAGGACAAAGCTGGTCAAAAGCTCTCTGCATTATGGAAGATAGTTGCCCATATAATTCTCAAATTCTAATCTGTCTCAGGTATGGACTGCTTCACTTTATCTTCTTCCTTATGTGACATTTTGACAGATGAATGAGGAGGGAAGGAGCAGGAGCGGGGGCAGTGGAGTTTCTTTCTTTTTGTAATGCTTTTTGTTTTGTTTCCATTTCAAAATGCCAGCCCCCTCTGAAGTGGCTCTCCTATACCCTTCTCTGTCCCTGCTCTTTCTGCTCACTGCTGGCTATCTCACCCAACCAGGCCTAAAGAGGCAGGGGAAGAAGGGCAGGAGTGAGGGCATGAAAAGAGCTTTGAGGTGAAAAGAAGTCCCCTTGTCTTCTCTGGGCCTTATTGAGGATCCCTGCTGTCCCCAGCTGTGCACTGGGCATTTGGGATAGAGGTGGGGGGATGTAGATGGGAAACATAGCGTTCACTCTCAGTGTACTGTCAAGTCTATTGAGGCAAAACGAAAACAGCTTAATAACAGAGCAAGGCCAGCTTAGATCAAAGTCTTAGTGTCAGAAGCAAATAGCCCCAAAGGAGGCTGGAAACAGAGAGACCACTTCACTGGGTAAAACACCATATTAGGTGAGCTCAGTGCTAGGCTCTCCCTTCTTTCCTCTCATTTCAAATTTTCGGCACTTTATGCAATAAATATCTTTAAGCACCTGTAGCATATCAGACCATTATTTTATACACATTGTTTATTTGATCCTTAAAACAAGACCAAAAGCTAAGTATTATAATTACCATCTTTTGGAGGAAGGGGACCAAGATTTATGGACTTGCTTAAATTAAGATCACACCATTGTTAAAAGAAGGAAATAGCTTTGAACCCACACCCATCAAGCCCCACAGCTCCTGCTCTTTCCACTCTGCTATACCGTTTGTTGAAAGTATATGGAAAGGAGCCACGCGCTTTATCGGGCTGCATCGCATTGCATGCGTTTTTAGTATATGTGTGCACATGCCAATTGGTATGTGGGAATCCTGCTGGGTGAGTTGTAATGAGGGCGTTTTGAGTGGCTAGATGCATTTTTGCTGGCGAGGCCTGGCTCAAAGAGAATAGGAAAGGAAGCATACAAACCCACTGTGTGGGAGGCTAGTCACACAGTGTGAGGGCTGATCCTTGAAGAAACTATTGGGAAATGGGTCTATTAAGCCCTAGTGAAACTTTACTTTGCTGAGGGAGGGGCGTAGGGGGGGACTTGGTTTTTCCATGACTATTTGATTTCCAAAGCATAATTCATTCCCCATTCTTTAAAAAAAAAAAAAAAGCAATATTTGTTTAGCACCCTGTGTGCCAGGCATGGTGCTTGGTGCTTTATATCAGTGACATCGTTTAATTCTCACACACACTTACCCATTAGTGCCACTGTTTAGCCCAGGAGACAGCTTCAGGAGGGCCAGATGATTTGCTCAGGATTATTTAGCTGGTGTAGAGCAATGCAAGGTCCTGCCCTGTGCTGTCCAACAGCAGGCCACACTGGCATTTTAAAGTTATTGGTGGGACATTCTGTCTTTTAATATAGTTGTAAATTATCTCTAAATCATGAAATAGGATGGCGGCATACTGATCCTGCCTCTCCTCTGTTACAAAAAAGAAAGGCATTATCTTTTCATTCCTGAGTAACTAAGATTCTTTGCCCCAGAGATAAAAATCTCCACTCCAGGTCACTCGGGTGTCATTGTCCGGAGGGTACGATTGCTACTCTTGCTCTCATTTGGCCCTTTTTCTTCTTCTTTTGCTGAGGTACCTGGCCTCTTTCAAGACATCTCTCTCTCCCCTATACCCATCACTATAGTATGAGGCTGCTGAGGTGGCACCAGCCACGATATGGAGGCAGGGACCTGTGGCCTGGATGAGCGTGTAGTCAGACAGACCTGGTGTGTATGGAGTCTAGAGGGCTGTCTGAGATTTGAGATAGGGTCTAACAGTCTCCCAAAGACCCCTGGTCCCTGCTCACCTACTGCCATCACAGAAGGGAAAAGATGTCCTCAGCGTCACTGGAGAGCATTTGGCCTCTGAGGCAAGCATTTGGGCCACCAGCCCCCTATAAGAATGGATGGTGATTATGAATGTCTGAATGGATTTACTATTTGTCCTGGGTGGAGGATTGACCCAACCTTTCAGAAGCAGAATGAATAACAAAGAGGAAGGTCTTTGCAACTCTAGGGTTTGTCCTTTCACATCTCTTTTAAGACTTTTGAAAGCAGCAAGCAGTGGGAAGGGAGATGAGTGGAATGAGCATTTGTTAAGGAGGAGAAACCCTGAGATGCTTGGTTGTATGACCTGGGGTTGGGAAGCCACTCCACTTCACATCTCTGAGCCTCAATTTTCTCTCCTGTCGTTTGGCAAAGGTAGTGCTTCCCTTCTCCTTCCCCTGCCCCAGAAGGCTGCTGTGAGAATGAGATGAGAATATGTTTAGGGTTTTGGAGCCGGGTCCCAACTCAGAGAAAGTGCTTAGGCCAAAGTCCAGAGGCCTGGAGTGTACTCCAGACTCTGCCCTGAACTCTGTATCTCTTCTCTCTGGGGCTCCCTTTCTATAAAATGAGGGCATTAGGGTAGCTTTTTTTTCCCCTCAATGGTCCCTTTTGATTCTAAATGCCATGACTCTTTTCTCAAAGTAGAGGATTAGATACAACATTTTGGAGATAAATGGATCATTTAATAGTTACCCGCTCAGTCATCCAACAAACATTTAATGAGACCTACCACATGTCAGCCACAGTGCTAGGTAATGGATAGAATAACAAACAAAACAGACGTAGCTCCTGCCTTCATGGAACTTCTAGTCTAGTATAAGACTGTTTGGAAGAATTTCCTCATCTCAGATAGTTGAAGAAGTTCCAGCCGGGCGCGGTGGCTCAAGCCTGTAATCCCAGCACTTTGGGAGGCCGAGGCGGGTGGATCACGAGGTCAAGAGATCGAGACCATCCTGGTCAACATGGTGAAACCCCGTCTCTACCAAAAATACAAAAAATTAGCTGGGCATGGTGGTGCATACCTGTAATCCCAGCTACTCAGGAGGCTGAGGCAGGAGAATTGCCTGAACCCAGGAGGCGGAGGTTGCGGTGAGCCGAGATCGCGCCATTGCACTCCAGCCTGGGTAACATGAGTGAAACTCCGTCTCAAAAAAAAAAAAAAGAAGAAGTTCCAGGGCTCCAAGGGGAACATCGTTAGTGAAAAGAACTATGTCAGGCATGTAATAGGTGCTCAAATATTTGCTAAATGAATAAATCAATACAAGCAACTGAAGGAAGATCTGGCAGTGAGTGACCCTAGAGTTGGGAGCAGTTCTTTGGAGTCCATAAAGACCGTGGGAGCTCTGGCAAAGTGTGTGTTTAATTGCTAAACAATTTGTTTGTTCAGACACCTGTGGATGGGAGGATCTGCCCCTACCTGCCCGGTTCTCAAGGTGGCCGCTGACTGGGAACAACGATGGCTTCACTTGCCAGGTCTTTTCATAGAGGTGGAGTCTGTGCAGATGCTGGAACCCAAGGGAAGAAGGGAAAAGTGGCCAGAGAAAAATGCCAGTGTTGGTATGACATTTGGACCAAGCCCAGAGGATCCTTAGAGATTGTGGGGTCTCATCTGTATCCTGTCAGAGAGAGAACTGAGGCCCAGCTGGGATGTGTGGCCACAAAAGAAGTCGGCTCTAAGCCATGCCAGGATGCTGCACAGTAAGGTGGAAAGAACCAGGGCTTAGGAGTTGGAGAATACTTGGATTTGAAGGCTCTGGATCCTTGCATAAATCGCTTAATCTCTCTGAATCAGCTTTCTCATCTGTTGAAGAGACATCACAGTGGTGGCATGTGGAAGATGTCATGAGGTATAATGTGTCTCGGGAACCTAAAATCATGACCCAGGACTCACTATAGACCTCATAATTGGTATTTATAATTATTACATTATTAGGACTCAGGTCCTGTTCTGTGCAATGTTGAAAGATAGTGATAAGAACAATTTTGATGACAGAACTTAGAAGTTTGTGTAATCTTCATTATAAATGAAATAGTGAAACAATGCTGAGTGGATTTAGAGAGGCTTCACTCCTTCATTAACCAGCTATCTGACCTTAGATAGGCATTTCCCCCATCCTTGGGATTGGTTTTCTCTTCTGTTAAATGGGGATCATTTTTATGCTCAACCTCTTCTTATCCATCTACTAAACATTTATTGAATGCCTACTAGGAGTCATAATATGCTTAGTGCTGAGGACACAGGAAGAGGACGCAGTTCCTGATCCTAAGAAGCTTATTACCTAGTGGGACACTATTAAACAGGTACTTACAACAGAGAATAGTATGTATAGAGCATAGTACGTAGCAGGAGCCTATTCCTGTCTGAGTGGACAAGGAGGCTTCTTAGAGGAAGTAACATTTAAAGCTGAGGGCTGAAGGATGAATAGGATTTAACCAAGTAAAAGTAAGAAAGGAAGTGGGGAGCTGGCAAGGCACTTCAGGAAGAAGAAACTGCATGTGCAGAGGTCAGGAGGTCAGAGGGCACAGCGGACGTGATGATGTGGCTAGCTGAGCATGTCTGCGCAGTGTCAACTTTGTTGTGAACACAGGGGGAGACTACTGGGAGATTTTAAGCCAGGGAGTTGGAGTATGATCACATTTTCATTTTAGAAAGAACACTCAGGGTTATATGTGCTGATGTGAAGTTTGATTATGGAGAGCGGTTGGAAAAAGTCGATTCTTTCCTCTTCCTCCATCATCCTCCTCTTTTCCCTGTCCACATAAAATGGCTCACATAAGGTAAAATAACCCACACAAGCATGCCTTGTGGAATGTCTGCCACACAGTAGGTGTCTAATTGTCATATAATTTCTCCCTTTTTAAATGTAGCTCCTGAAAGAGAAATCCCCTGGCATGAAGACAAGTTGGGGCAAAAACGGTGAGGGTGTGGATGTTTGTATCTCTGGCTGGTGTTTGGATTTAGGTCAGAGGAAGTTCCCCAGACAATTCAGCCTCAACCAGTCATCTGGGGTTTCAGGGAGGGCAGGTGAAGGTCATAATATCCCCCCACTTCAGGAGGTCACTCTTCCCCAGAATCCTGATCTTGAAAATGTACCAGACGTCGGCCATCGAGTTAATTTGTCTGAGTCTGTATCCTCATCTGTAAAATGGGTATAAGGTTACCTGTGCTGTCAGCCACATGGGGTTGTTGTAAGAAACAGAAAGTGTGAACCACCACAAAATAATATAAGATTACATTCATTAATGGCTACCCTGGGCCAGGCCTTGTTCTGTGAAGTAGGTATTATCAATTATCCCTATTTTACTGATTGAGGAACCAAGGGTCAGAGAGATTATGTGAGTCACGCATGGGCACAGAATAAGTGGCTATAGCTGGAGTGCTGGCATTTCAACCACAACACTGTGACACCATGACTTGTTCTCCCTTGAAAACCACCTCCTGCTCCCTGATCTCCTAGCATGATGCAGGTACTCCAGAAATGAGTATAGAAAGATGGAAAAAGGAAGGAAAGGGGTAGTGTCTGGAGTCTGAGAAAGTTTTTTCAGATGCCTCCCCACTTCTCACCCCACCATCTTAGGGTTTTCTCCCAGATGCACTCTTGGGAAATGTCTCAGGGCATCCTATTAAAATGTCCCATTACCTGTCTGACTCCTCACTAGATGGGGACTCCTGGGGGCAGGGACTGTGTCTGGTTCCCCTATCCCAAGGGTCTAGTGCAATGGCTGCCACTCAATAAATATTTGTAAATGAATTCCTCCTGTCACGGTCTGAATTTTCTGCCCACACTCTCCTCTTGGCCAACAGGCCTAAAAGCAAAAAAGCTTGAAAGTCTTCCAAGGTCACTTGGGTGCATATGATGGAGGCCCAGCAAGAGGTCAGTGTGCCGCCCTGGGGCAAGCCTGCAGGATGAACCCAGAGGACTGGAGTGCCCTGCTTCATCCAGCTCATTTTCCCCATCGGACCTCACACAGAGTCCACGTGTTATGTTGCATGAGGACCCCTAAGGACTTGCTGAGTGGTTCTGGGTGCTCAAGTCACTGTACCTGCAGGGTGTCTTTAGCTGGGGCCCACCTGACTGATTGGCTGGTCGATGAGTGGCCTGAGAACCAGAACTAGCCACCTCCGGCACATTGAGCAACCGGCTTCCTTCCTCACCCCCGGGCAGGAGCTGGGTCAGGGAAAGTGAAGAAACCCGTTTGGGGCCTCAGAGGGTGGGCGTGGGTGGGGCCTTGCCGGGCAAAGAGGTAACTGGACTAGTTTCCTTTGCTCCAGGACCGGATGCAAAGCCGGGACTGAGGCGGAGGCAGGAGAAATACGCACCCTGGGTGCACCTGTAAGTCCGCCAGGACTACATTGGTTTTGGCTACGACATGACTAGGGGCTCTGGGTCGGTGATCGCTGGGCGTGGGGCTTCCTGCTGCTAAATCCGGCGAGTGAGCCGGCCGGGCGGCGTTGAATGACCTGACGGATGGAGCTGGAAGAGGCTTTGGCAATCCAGCGGGCAGGCGAAGGACACCGCGGGAAGGGGTGGTGCCTGGAAACACAGCAGGGCAGTCGCGCCGCTCCCCTGCTCTCGCCAGCATGCTTTCTTTTCCTGGCCTCTGCAGCTCCTCCGGGCTCTGCGGTAGCATGAAAGGCACCCAGGACAGATTTGTGTTTGAATCCAAGCTTTTCCACCTACACTCTTTTTTCTTGGGCGAGTGACTTCTATCTGACCCAGAGTTTTCCCAGACCAAAGTGGGAAGACATTGCCTACCCCAAAGCGTTGTGGGAATCAAAGTCAATGAAATGACATAGGAAAGGTGCCTAGCACATAGCAGGTGCTCAGCAAAGCGGGGTTCCCTTTCCCTTTGTTTAGCCCCGGATCTCACTCCCAGCCCTGATGTCGTACCTCAAAGGCAGCCCTAGGACGGTGGGGTATGGGAGGCAGGACGCCTGGCCTGGCAATAACTCATTTGAAGCATTAATGGGATGGGGGCGAGTGGGCAGATTCCGAAGGCTGCCTTTGGAACGCGTTTCTGTGACCCTAGGAGGGAATTTCAATGCATTCTTCCGTTCACGTATTTATTCACAGATTCCTATCAGGCGAAGGCCGCCTTTCCTGGCCTCCCCCCAGGCCCGCCAGGGATTCGTCCTTACAAGGCCAGCCTCCACCGTCTGCCCTCTGTGTAAATAAAGCCACAGCCTTCCGCCTACAGGTCGCCGCAGGTCCCGCCAGCAGCGCCGAGCCGTGGGGGAGGCAGGAACCCGTGCCACCGCCGCTGCGCAGTCCTCCGGAGGCTCGGAGCCGGCCACGCCCCAGCCCTCGCGCTGAGCCCGGGAGCCCGGGAGGAGCAGGAGGGAGAAATCCAGGCTCAGACCGTCGGCCCACCCGTGAGCACCCTTCTTCACTGATAACTCTGCACGTGGCAGGCCCTAGACAGACAGCAGCCCGAATCTTCCCAGAAACCCTGCAGGGAGATTCCTTCTTCCTATATCATAGAAGGGAGGCTGAGGCTCGGCACGTTTAAATGGCTTGACGAAGGTCCCACAGGCAAAAAATATATAAATAAATAATAATTTTTAAAAATGGTACAGCAAGATATTGTAACCCAATGTGTCTGGCTGCAAAACCCAGTCTTTCCCCATGCAACCTGTTGTCACCGAGACTGTAAAACTACTAACCGGGAAGAATCAAATGCACGGCGAGTTACAGGTTAACAGCCCGACAGGAGCGGAAAAGGACCCTGCAGCGCTTCCTTGGGGGTGTCACATAGGACACCTAGAACCACAGAGGAACCGCAGGCGAATTTTCTTGGCTGATGGGTTTACTCCTTTTTGCATGAAAGCATACAGTTCCTTATTAAAACAAACAATGGTTGATTAGACTATAAAACTCTCAAAGTTATTTCGGATCAAAATTATTTTGGGCCGTTTCCACACCTTTTTTTCGATTGCGCTGAAATTCTTCACACCTTGTGCTCAGATGGGCAAACTGAGACCCGGAGGAGTTCCACTGAGAGCGAGAGTCGGAGCGGGGGATGGGGGGAAACAGATTTCTGGGATCCTGCTTAGGGTGTTTCCACTGGGGTGAGCGCCCCTGTTTGCGAATAGGGTTCCTCGGACAGCTACTGCTGATTTTCGTCACTCAGCCAGGCAAGTGGGGGCGATTCTGAGTAATCGCAGGCAATCAGCGCGGCTGGGGTTAAACGCGAAAGGGACGCGCGGGCGAGCGGCTGGGGAGGGCGGCGGACGCCCAGCCCAGACGCCGGCAAAGGCGGGGCGCCGCCGGGGTTCCCTCGGTGCGAGCGCTCGCGGCACTTCCTGCTCTTGCTCCTCCCCGCGGTCCAGCCGGGCGCTGTAAACTGGCGCTGCGGGCCACACCCTTATTCCAGGCCGACTGACCCACCGCGGCATTAGAGCCCCAGCCTCAATCTCCAGTCCTCCTAGAGCCTCAGTTCCTAGTCCTGGCCACGGGAACGCCAGCCAGATCTGCAGCTCAGCTCGCTGAATTTCAGGTTCCAGGGACAGTGGCCCACTTCTTCCATGTAGAGGACAATCAGGTTCTCTGGCCTGGGTCTTCTCAAATAATCCAGGGTTGAACAACCTTTTCACTCAGCAATCCCATTACTGGGTCTATACCCAAAGGAAAATAAATGGTTCTTCCAGAAAGACACATGAATCCCAGTGTTCATCGAAGCGCTATTCACAATAGCAAAAACTTGGAATCAACCCAGGTGCTTGTCAACGGTGGGTTGGATAAAGAAAATATGGCACGTATATACGATGGAATACTATGCAGCCATAAAAAGAATGAGATCATGTCCTCTGCAGCAACATGCCTGCAACTGGAGGCCATTATCCTAAGTGAACTAAGCAGGCAAAGAAAACCAAAAACCACGTAAACTCACTTATAAGTGGGAGCTAAACGGTGGGTATGCATGAACATACCGATGGGAAGGATAGACACTGCAGACTACTAGAGTTAGGGGGAGAAGGAGCAGAGCAAGAGCTGGAAAACTATGTCTTGGGTGCTATACTCACTATCTGAGTGACAAGTTCAATTATACTCCAAACCTCAGCATTAGGCAATTTACCTGAGATAACAAACCTGCACATGTGTCCCCAATTTTAAAATAGAAGTTGGGACAGGTGTAGTGGCTCACTCTTGTAATCCTAGCACTTTGGGAGACAGAAGGGGGAGGATGGCTTGAGGCCAGGAGTTTGCGACCTGCCTGGGCAACAAAGTGAGACCTTATTTCTACAAAAAATTTAACAATTAGGCATGGTGGTATGCTCCTGTGTGGGTCCAGTTACCTAGGAGGCTGAGACAGAAGGATTGCTTGAGCACAGGAAGTCGAGGCTGCAGTGAGCCATGTTCCTGCTACTGCACTCCAGCCTAGGCAACAGAGTGAGATCCTGTTTCAAAATAAAATAAAAGTTGAAAAAAATATAAAACAAACAAAACAATCCACATTTGACATTTGCTGACTATATGACCTTGGGAAAATTACTCAACCTCAGTCTCAGTTTCTGCATCTGTAAAATGTGAGTTACTGACACTTACCTCATGTAATTGTTGTAATTGTATCTATCTGTAAAGGCCTAGGACATTAAAAAAAAACTAATTAAATGTTCTGTTTTGTTATTAGTGTTAGTTAGGCATAGGTGGGAATCCTGTTTAGGCCAATTAAGAACTGGATGACCAGGCAGGTGTACTTTCTTCAGTTTCCCCACCTGGAAAAGGGAGTTTATTGTGCTTTACATCACTGGGTGATGCTGAGGTCCCCGTCATCCAACAAGTCCACAAGTGATGATGTTTGCAACTCTTACTATTTGCCAGCGCTGTCTTAAGCATTTGACACTTATTTAATTCTACAATTACAGTATGAGAGAGGTATTAAGAGCATCCTATTTCACAAGCAGAAAATTGAGGAACAAAGAAGTTAAGTGACTTATCTAAGGCCACACGGCTACTAAGTAGGACTTGAATCTACAAAACTTTGGCTCCTTATTCTGTATTCTTAATTCCTGCAGGATGCGTCAGACACTACACTAGGCAATGGGGATGCAGCCAGGAATGACACCACACACAGCTGCCTCCTCAGCAGAGGCGAAGGGTTCCTTTCTGAGCTTACTGGCATTCCTTATATATGATTAAGCATTGCATGCATTTTGCTATATTTTATATAATAAAGCAGCTTGCACACTGTAGATATTCAACATTGTTGGTTTCCCTCACTATATTTTTGGGGGGTCCAGTTACAAGTGCTTAGATGGAATGTGGAGGGAGGTTAGGTTTTAGGTGATAAAGCAGTTGATGCTCTATCACCAATAGATGCTCCACATACCTGAGTTACCTCCTCTACATACTTAGTGACCTTCTAGCTAAATAGACTAAAATGGCACAGGCTTAAGGTTTAGACCTTTTAACAATAATAATAATTAGTTCCGCCTCTGCAGAGTAATTCTGCAAAAGCAGAATTACTGTCTGCACTGTGGGGTTCCCAGAACTGGGGGTGAATTTACTGTATTTATCACTTAATCATTTCCAAAACAGCTTATGACTATGATATCTTTAGTCAAAGTCCTAGAATTTACCTCCTACCCTCTCTCTTTGGGGTCCCTGTGATAATTCTTGCTGTAAATGGCTAAAGCTATTAAATATAGGGTGTACATCCTCCTACCATGTAAATGTAAGCTGTCATTACATTCATTGCTTAAATGTTATGATTATTTCAAGCTTGGCTTTTGTATTTGAAGCCTTGAGTTAAACGTGGAAAGTAAGGGGAAAACGTATAATGGTTAGAAATAAAAACGTACAGTAGGTAGGTTTCCAAAGTAATAAAAAGCCACTTTACATTTTAAAAGATTTTAAACCTTGTGTGGTTCCAGGCAGCATATCCTAAATTCCCATCAAACATTGTGTCTCTATTCTGAGGGTCAGAACCGCCTTGAGGCAACTCAATGAACTCAACTGACAACAAAGAATGAAGTCGTTAATTTCAGCTTGTAAAAGAGATAGCCTGTGGACAACACTCAGCAGACGGTAGATATTCAGAAGGAAACTATTATGATTAGAGACAGGGATATGGAGAGAACAGTCAGACAGTATACTCAGCTGACATTTATTGAGCACCTACTATGTGGCAGTTGCTTGCAAATCCACTATTTCAAATCTCACAATAAGCCTATGAGGAAAAGATCATATTATAGAGGAGGAAGCTGACATTCCAAGACATTTGGTAACTTGCTAAGAAAGTAAGTGGCAAAGTCTGAGTTGGAAGAAGTTGGGTCTGACTTCAAGTTCAGTATCTGATTCACTGAATCTCTCTGCTTTTTCCCGTATGCCCAGATGTCAGCCATTGTAGAGCTGGAGGTGAGAATCAGAGGGGACTTTAAGATCACCTCACCCAGAGTTTCTCTGCCTCTTTTATTAATCCAAGTCACCCTAGATAAACACACAAACATTATATCCTCTTTTAATGAGTTTCAAATTTGAAATAAGTGAAATATGATTCAAAACAAATCAAAGCAAGGGGACATTTTTCAGTATTTCGTTTTGAAACAAAACAAGCCTTTCCAGCACTTCTGGTTCCTCCTCCTCATGCCTCCACCAACCTCACTGGAGAGCTGGTGATCCTTTGCCCCCCTCCTCCTGGTCATTGGCTTCTGAGGAAGTTGAGCCCAGAGAGGACTGACTGACTAGTTTGTGACATGGTCAGCTCTTGAACTCAGGCCTGCTTGATTCCAGGGTGGGATCTTTTCTGTAAACACCCTGCTTACTTCTCAGCCTGGTCTCTCACTGAACCCCAGCTCACGGTCCACACTTCGGACTGACCTTATCACCTATAGTTCCCAGAATGTGTCCTCCTCCTTCCTGGCCTTTGCTCAGGCTGTTCCTCTGCATGGAACGGAACAGTCCTCACTACTACTCCTCCCAGCTTGTCCGAGGAGTCCCTGTTCATCAAGCTTCAGCTGAAATGTAGCTTCCTCTAGGGAGCTTTTCTGGACTCCTGCCTATATCCAAATGAAGGAGATGAATTCCTTTTGCACACTTGCTCGTGTACCCATGTAGAACTATATTCTGGCATTTACTAACCCTTTAATGTTGTTTACAAGTCTCTCCTTTTTTAAAAAAAAAATTTGAGACAAAGTTTCACTCTTATCACCCAGGCTGCAATGCAGTGGCACGATCTCAGCTCACTATAAACTCTCCCTCTCAGGTTCAAGTGATTCTCCGGCCTCAGCCTCCCAAGTAGCTGAGATTACAGTCATGCACCACCATGCCAAGGTAATCTTGTATAATTTTGTATTTTTTGTAGAGAAGGGGTTTTACCATGTTGGCCAGGCTGGTCTTGAACTCCTGACTTCAGATAATCCACCTGCCTCAGCCTCTCAAAATGCTGGAATTACAGGTGTGAGCCACCACGCCTGGCCGAAGTCTCTCTTTCTTAATCATCTATGACCTCCTTGGATATCTCACCTCTACTACTACCAAAATGATGGTGGTTGGGGTGGAATCACATCTTTGTAGTCTTTCAGGAGTGCCTGGCATTTAGCAAGCACTCAGTAAATGTTTATGAAACATACATACACACACATACAATGTCATTGTCAGATTATTTTATTTCAGTGGCCTTGAGTTTTTACTTAGGCTGGAAACTCTCATAAACAACTGTCCTCTGTTGAAGCAACAGGGAGCCACTGCAGGTTTTTGAGGTAGAGAGTTCCTTGACCCATAGGTAACATAAGAGACTTACCCATGGGATTAAAGCTGAAGGCCTCCCAGTTTCCAAGCCTTTGCAGTCTTTCTCTGGAAAAGTTTTATTTCACAAATAAAAGGCTGAAGAAGAGAAGTGTTATTCTTTCATTTTTTGTTTATT